GCTAGAGCAATAAGACAACAAAAGGAGATCAAGGGAATACAAATCAGAAAGGAAGAAGTCAAACTCTATTTGTAGAGGATGTGATAATCTACATAATTGACGTGAAAAACACTACCAGGGAACTCCTAGAGCTGATAAACACCTTCAGCAAAGTGGCAGGATACAAGATTACTCAAAAAATCTGTAGCCCTACTATATAAGGATGACACATTGGTGGAGAAAGAAATGAGAGAAACATCACCCTTTACAATTGCCACAAACAACATAAAATACCTTGGGGTAACACTAACCAAAAAAGTGAAAGATCTGTACCATAAGAATTTTGAGTCTCTAAAGAAAGATATTAAAGAAGGCACCAGAAAATGAAAAGATCTCCCATGCTCTTGGATAGGCAGGATCAACATAGTAAAAATGGCAATCTTGCCAAAAGCAATCTACAGAGTCAATGCAATCCCCATCAAAAGCCCAACACAATTCTTCACTGACCTTGAAAGAACAATTCTCAATTTTACATGGAGAAACAAAAGACCCAGGATAGCCAAAACAACCCTGTACAATAGAGGAACTTCTGGTCAGTTTGTAATAGAATTATGGCTATAAACTGTACAGACTTGGTTAAAGCTGTTTTAGAGCATGATCAGCAAATGGTGAATGCATGTCATATAAGACTATTATTTCCTTGAATCTCCTTAAGTATAATATTGCCATAGGAGTCAAATCAGCTCTTACAGAGCCTCTATCATTTGGCAATTGCTGTAAGGTTACTGGATAAATTAAGGTTGGATGTTTGAAAGCTTTAGGCTGTTCCAGTTTCACCTTATAATGCAACAGTGAAATTGGTTCTCCTTTAAATTCCTCTGTCTAGGTTTGAATATCTCTATGATTTGTTTTATTACGTGTTTCTAAGGCCTGTATCTTGGCACTCATACAAAACAACATTTTAAGAGATAAACCAGGAAGTATCAAATTGACAACAAGTATTATCAAAATGATAATAAACAGCATGTTAATCCCAGTTGATTATCCCTTCATTTAATTGTTCCATTTTTAAATCGTGCATTGCATGATCATACTGATACCTGACTCTCTCCATTTGTAATAGGGTTTCCCATAGGGGGGATTCCCCATTTCTAATGTGGAAAAAAAAAACTCTCTTTTAACTAATTCTTCCCCTTAAGAATTCTCAATTTTGTTACCAAATTTGTTGATGATGATGAAGATATGAGGCTTACTGCTGCTGAGTAGAACAGTAAAAGCCTGACCAGATTTCAAGGCAGCTACCTAGTTTGGCAGCAGCCTTAGAGATGTATCCAGAGAAAGACCACCAGGAGAGAAGAAAGGAAACCTAGCTGGTAGGTTGGTGACTCCAGCCTCATGTAGATCCAGCCTATGCCAGTGACTGTAGAACTACATGATTTTATACCCCAAAAGTTGGGTACCAGATATTGCATGCATGAATTCTAATTAGTCTTAATAATAAAAACCTAGAGACAGATACTGGTATTAAAACTGAAGATCAGAGAAGCAAAGCAGCCAGCCACTAGAGAGTTCTCACCTCTACCAATGGTCACACCAAAGGGGTGATCCTGTCCTCAGATTGCATCTCCAGATTTCATCTTGTTTAATGAGATTAAGATCCAATAAGCATGTGGTTGATTGTCCCCATAATATTCAAACCACTGTTGGTAGAGTAGGTATTTCAAGAGTCCAGTTGTTACTGTAGTTCACAGGGTTCACAGTTGGATAAAATTGGTGATTACTTTCCTTCCCTGGTAGAATTCGTAACACTTTTAAGTCATATAAAAGCTATCAAGTAGAGATGAAACTCCCAGATCAATATAGTTTAATATCTTTAAGCATTTATTTATTTATTGTTTGACAGATTTATGCATGTACCTGATTATTTCCCTTCTCTCATTCCTTTCTGTGTCTAGTGGAATTCATTTTATCACAAGTTCCCCTTCTACTTTCATGTCTTCATTCTTCTGTATGATTCAGTTAGTTTAATTAGAGTTTCTTATTTGAGCATTGGGAGATTATTTACTATAGCAACAGTAACTCATTAACAGCTATGCAAGAAAATGACTCCTCCTTCTTACTAATCTATAACCACCAATAGTTTCTAAGAGAGGGGTGGGATTTTAGTGATCCATCTATCATCCATTCATGAACTCAATCTTGTGCTAGTCTGGAGCAGATAAACATACTGAGAATTTCATGCTACCAAAATACTATTAGGAAATAAAGCCAGTCCTCTAGAGTATTATCACACCGTTTATCATTTCATGTGTTTGTAATTTTGTTGCTATTAAAATGTTTAATATTTAAAATTTTTCTTGTTTTTATAGGCCACATTATTTGAAAATATAGGTCTTATGAAATATGGAGAAGTGTTTTCAACTTTAACAACAGTTCATTTGACAAAACCAATTTCAGACGAAAATATTACAGTGATTGACACAAACTTTAGAGACATTCCTGTTCGTCTGTACTTGCCAAAAAAGAAGTCTAAAAGACAGAGACCAGCTATATTTTTCCTTCATGGTGGTGTCTTTGTCTTTGGAAGTTGCAGTAAGTGTATTTCTGATGTATGGGTTGTTTGTATATTCATATTCAAATAGGTGCTGTGGATTGACAGAGTACTTATCAATATAATGTTGACTTGAGTAATATGTGCTTCTTAACAGAGATACATCGGAATGTATGGGTCATGGCTCACACATATTTCACATTGGTTAGTAAAACATGATGTAGAAATAAGATTGTTTCATTAGGAAAACTTTACTTTTAAATAAACATATAGACAGCCTTGAAAGTGTAAACAATACACTCTAAATTCAGACTAAAATAACCAAATAACATAAATTATATAAAACACTGATGTGAACCATGTGTTTTAATTGTCAGATCTGAATAATATAATCTCTGCCATACTCAGGTTGTAGAGTGTTACATAACAATAATATAGATGCTTAGAATCCAAAGCATAGCTTTGTATTAAAAATGATAAAATTAAATAAAGCTGAGTAATCAGTTACTGTATTCCTCTCTGGAGGTAAGTGTAATAGCTGAGACAGATATACAGACACACCTGTGCACACGCATGCATGCACAGCCCCCCCCCACCACACCAACACACAGAAAGAGAGTACCATTTAAGACTTTTCATGACTTATGGATTTACTATGCAGTGAAGTGTTTTGATATCATTCTGTGTACTTAACAGAACATATAATTTAATCACTACATCCTGTAAAATGAATAATAAGTGACATAAAGACACATATTGAAGTTCAAGCTTCAAGCTGAAGATCAGAGAAGCAAAGCAGACAAGTCAGTTGATGGGGGATGTCCTGTATATATGTTTCTCTTATTGGTTGATGAATAAAACACTATTTGGCCAATAGAGGCAGGAAGATAGCCGGGACTAGGAGATGAAGAGAATTCTAAGAAAGGTAGACAGACAGAGGTGCCACAAAGAGATGCCATGTAGCAGAGGAATGAGTAACAGGTCCAGACCCCTCACCAGTAAGATAAGACCATGTGGAAATGCTTAGATTAATAGAAATGGGTTAATAATTAACAGAGCTAGCCAGTAAGAAGCCTAAGCCATTGGCCAACAGTTAAATAATATAGTGTCAGTGGTCTTATTTGGGGTAAGGCAGCTGCAGGACCAGGCTGGATACAAAAACTCTAATAGCAGTCAGTAGATCTTACCTCTACCAGGATGAAATGGCAGTCTTATGTCCAGGAATCCTCAGAGGCAAAGTTCTCAGTTCCTGTCTCTTCCTGCCTTTTATTCCTACCTCCTCAGCCATATCACTCCTGTCTCCACCTCTCTAGTGCTGTAATTAAAGGTATGTGATCCCAGGTGCTGGGATCAAGGACCTGAGCTCTGTTACTCCTTTAGACTAATTCAATTTCATGTAGTTCTGGGTGGCCTTGATATCAGAGAAATCTGTCTGCCTTTTTTTCCTGAGTCCTGGGATTAATGATGTGTGCCACCACTGCATGGCTGCTATGGCTAACTAGCCTAGCCACTTTGCTATTTTGATCTCCAGTGGCTTTAGTAAATCATAAAAAAAATATATCACCACAATATCCAGTATTTTGTCTTCATGAAAACTGTGAACATTTCAAGATAAGCAAAAATGAGGGAATGGGTCTAGTCTTACCATTCCTTGATGTACCATGTTTGGTTGTTATCCCTGGGAAGCCTGCTCTCTTCTGAATGGAAAGTGGAGGTGGGAGAGGGGACTGGAAGTAGAGGATGGAAGGGAAACTGCAGTCAGGATGTAATGTATGAGGGAAGAACAAATGAAAAATAAAAATTAAATAAAAATGCTACTGTGTTCAGCTGGGCAGCAAACTGTGTAAGCATTTTTCAAGCAGGTAATATCATCAGTGTTTTAGTGGTGAAGAAACAAGTTATCAAGAAATGTTTTCAAAGTCTCACAATGAAAGGAGAGGAAGCAACAGTCCTATCAGCAGAAATCAGGGCATTCGGGCTCCTGCTACTGCTGAGCAGGCCATCATGCTCTCACTGTTGCTGGTAAATGCTACCTCTCAAAAGCAGTTAGTCCATCTGTTTTACTCCAATGGCATTTCTAAATTTCCATCCTGTTTCCAGCCTTAGCCACTACTTCTAGCACATAAGTCTGTATGTTTGGCATCCCCCAGGCCACTTCCCCTCTTACCCATCTCACACTATCAGCATCTTACTGACATCTGATTGATCCCTTATTTACTACTCTCTACATATATCCTGGGAAAAGACCTGTTTATCTTAGTCAAGATTAGTCTCTCTGTTTTCCTTGGAATCTTTCCTTCCAAATCATCATCAGATTTGTGTTACTTCTATCTTTTTCAATTGTACCCCTTTTGTTGACTCCTAAGCATGTACTGTCTCCTCTTCCTTGACCTCAGTAGACTCTTGCTGTCCTTTCTAGTTATTACCTAATTGTGCCTTACTTTCAGAGACATGCTTTTGTGTCTGTCTCTTTCTCCGTTTGATTCCTTCTTTGAGCTGGGTAATCTGAGAGTAACCACTGCCCTTTGCTATACTTATATTAGCTTGTATGAAATAAATTTCTCTTTCCTCCTTTATTTTAATCCCTTCATTTCCAACTACAACTTTAAAACAAGAGAAAAGCTGAAACCATGGTGAAATAAGTACTGCTTGGACTTTACAAATATTAACACTCCCATATTTTAGTATTTCATTTTTTAGTTGTTGGTTGCACATTTTCCTCTACTTTATTTCTTACTTTTTTCTACCTTTGCCCCCATACCCATCCTGTTTTCCATCTCTAGCTTTGTTACTGAAATTAAATTCAATAAATTCAGGCGGGGAGTGGGCTGCTTAACCAGTAATTAATGATCATGTGAATTCATTAACAGATACATCATATTCTTTTCCTAAAGAGTGAACATGGAAATAAATAAAACTATTCAAACACAAGAAAGGCTAATTCCCCCAGTAATGACAACCATGCTCCACTTTAACTCTCTTTTAGCTCCTACACTTTTTTTTTTAGCTCCTACACTTTATGAAATGTTCTGGACGCAAAATTTTAAACATCTTTTGTTCCTGTCCATACTATGTAAATTATCATTTAGATTGTTTCCTGTTCTTTTGTTTCTGATTGCTTACCACCATTTCTTTATTTCTGTAACCTTCTTTCTCTACCTTCCATAATGTGAAAATATGGCCACATAAATTATTCATAAACATTTTAGATATATTGTCCACCTAGTGACAAATCTTTTGCCAAACATTAAAGTGTAGATCTCCCATTCCTATTTTCTTATTTTGCCTACTTTCTGCCTCTTCTGTAACTCTATATTTCAACTATATTTGGTTGCCTAAATTTTCTTGAACTTTCAAATTTTCATAAACATTGTTTTTTTACTAAAAATTTATATTTTTCCAGTTTACTTGCTGGTGGTTGTTATGTTTTTATATTTAACAGGATGGATACCAATTTATGCATTTTGGGTGAATTAATATGTAGATAATTAAAAGGAATCTTGACATTGCTATCTAGTAAAAGTTTAGTAAAATATTTTCATTTTTTCCTCCTTTCTAATTCTTTTATGTTGATTATAACTCTATTTCATCCCCAATTAGCTTTTGTAAGGAACGACAAATACAAGAATTTGCTATAACTTTATCTTAATAAAAAATTAAATTGCCTATTACATAAAGAAAAGTAACATGAAGTTAACTTATAAGTTTATTAAATATGAATGATTTTGTGTAAATATGTAAGCTTTTAGCAAAGGAAAATCTCTATTATTTTAATTACACTCAAAATACATCTTGCTTTAAGTTGATGTCCCTTGGGTGAAAAGTTCCTTTAAAAATTACTATGGTAAATCTCTGAATTTGTGAAAATTGTAACACTGACTACAATGTTATTTTCAACTTAATTCCAGATTTTCTAATTTTTCTACCAAGAGTTTTATGAAATATGAAGATAATGATTTGCAGACAATCCTTATTTTCCTGAACTCTGACAATGTTGCTCCATCGTTAATCACTCCACATTTCTATCACATTCATAGGTATTGGTGGGTTTCCATTGTTTTCTGCTTACAGTGCATCAATTTGTATTTATCTATTTTGTTTCAGAAATTTCTGGATCTGATGACCTGAACAGATGGACAGCAAACAAGCTTGATGCTGTTGTTGTGGGAATAGAGTAAGAGAACAATATGATTTTATAAATTTTATTTAAATTAGAAACAATCATATTTTACATATCAATCCCAGTTCCCTCTCCTTCCCATCCTCCCCTGTCCCCCACCAACCTTCTATCCCATTCCCGAAGCCACTCCCCAGGGAGAGTGAGGCCTTCAATGAGGGATCCTTAGTGCACCACAGGACTTCAGGAGCCCATATCCCATGAAGGAATACTCTCTTAGCCTAGATACAAGAGGGAGGACCTAGGCCCTTCCCCTAATGACTTGACAGACTTTGATGATCTCTCATGGAGGGCGATAATTTTTCTTACCACAGCCATTATCTTCACTACATAAGCTTGGCTTTCACGGAACTTGATACAGAGCTAGGTTTCACAAGTGGTTTATTTTATCTGTGAGCAACAAACATAGAAAGAATTCTCATTATACACTTGGGATATTGGGTTTTATTTGACCTAGTTATAAAACAGTGTAGAGTTAGTGTTGTTCTTGGTTCTAGAAATATTTTAGGGATAAATGTTGGGAAATTTTGAATATTTCCAAATAATGTCTTATTATCTCATGGCTTTTACCAACATTTCCAATAACAAGCAAACAAAATGAACAAGTGCTTATTACTAAATGAACTATTGTGTCCTCTGAACCACTGAGATTCCCATTAGGGGGATGAACAGATTGCTGCACATTTTGCCAATTCCATAGTGCATAGTGTAGAAACAATAGACTTACAGAATTGTAGGTCTCAGACAAAATCACCATAAGGAATTTCATAGTTGAGAGTATATTGGGGGCAGGTAGGATATACTAGAGAGATTAGTTCTGTCCTGCTCATAATTTCCTGTGAATGGAACTAGACAAATTGCTTAAGTTTTGAGGAATATCTAAATTATAATAGTAAGGATGGTGAGCCTTTCATGCAATAATTTCAACTAAATTTAACACATTATAATTTTAAATAAGTTTTTTAAGTGATATATTGTACAAAGTTTAAGAATTCTATGGAATTTTAGGTATTTGCTGTTTTTTCCTTAAAGAGTAATGATATTGATATATCATTTGCTCATGTTATGCTACATTTTACATATTTCAATATGGATTAAGTTACAAATATCTGCAAGGATCATGTGATGGATATTGTTTAATAAAAGCATGTGCACAAGTCACTAGTTCTGACAGATATTAAGGTGATAGAACTAAAAAATGTAATAGCCCAATTGTCGGCTCCAAAGATAGAACACACACACACACACACACACACACACACACACACACACAGCAAAAATGAACAAAGTTGTACTTAGTCTTATAAAACAATTCAAAATTTTAGTAAGATCCATTAATATACTTAAAATGTTCATATTTCATAATGACTACATTGATTTAAATTCTGACATTCGATTTGTAGTATGAAATTCTACAATTTTGTAAATATCAGCCTACAAACCTTTATAATTGAATTCACTTATCAATATTTTGTTCTCATATTTTATGCCTTTAAAATTTCTTGGGTAAGCCTATCAATAATTCTGAATTGCTTTTGAGTCACCAAGCACACTGAGGGCCACTGAAGCTCACAGACTTCACAAGGTGAACACACCTGTCTCACTCATTCTCCTTAAAACCAATACCTGAAACCCTCAACTGGAATCTACTCCTCACTTTTATGACAGAAGTTACCAGCGATCTTGGGGTTAATTGGTGACATTTATGATTCAATGTAGGGCCAATATATCAGCGTATCTGTAGGTGATAGGGAAAAATGTTTAGTTGCATAATTTTAACAAGGGCTTTGTTGATTTTTTTGTTTGATTTACCTCTAAAGATACAGACTTGCTCCTCAGTATCAATTCCCAGTTGCCCTTGAAGATTGTGTTTTTGTGATCAAGTTCTTTCTCCAGGATAAAGTCCTTGCAGAATATGGAGTGGATCCTACTCGCATCTGCATTGTGGGAGAGAGTTCTGGGGGTACCTTAACAGCAATAGTGACTCAACTGGTATGTTGTATATGTTATATATGTTTTAATCTTAACACAAAAGGAGTCGTGTTTAGGTGTATTTTGTATCACTTTTAAACTGTTATCTGGGAAATTTGAAATAACGATTATCCATTTTGCATACTATTACTGTAGATGTAGTTTTAATAGTCTAGTGCTAAGGAAGGATTTTACAATCCTACTTATTTCTTTTGGGGGAAGGGGTCTGGGCTTTGAACCTAGGGATATGTGCTTGCCAAGCAAGTATTCTATCACAGGACTATGCAACCTTCCCTTTTAAACTTACTATTTCAAAACAGAATTTTTGATAAGTTTCCCTGAACTGCTCTGTAGTTTGTTCAAGGCTTGAACTTGTGAGCCTCCTACCTCAGCAATTAAAGAACCTGGTATTAGAAAATGCAAGCCGGGCGTTGGTGGCAAACGCCTTTAATCCCAGCACTCGGGAGGCAGAGGCAGGCGGATCTTTGTGAGTTCGAGACCAGCCTGGTCTATAAGAGCTAGTTCTAGGACAGCCTCCAAAGCCACAGAGAAACCCTGTCTCGAAAAACCAAAAAAAAAAAAAAAATGCAATATTGACCCTGGCTTACCCTACCAATGTTAGGATTCTTTACAATTTGTTATAATAAGGGACTCTGTGTTCATAATTTATTGATTTCTATAGATTAAACTATTAAAATTATGAATATTTTTGTATCACTATCATTTATGAGTGTTTACTTTTTTTCTCTGAGACTAAATATCTGACAAGAAGCAATTTAAGGAAAGAGAGGATATAACAGCTCCTGGTTTGAGATATTCAGTGGGTCATGGCAGTGACACCATAGCAGTGGGAGTTACTTTTGGCTGTGGTAATGCTAGTGGTAAGACTGTTTGCTCTTATCTCTCGTCTAGAATTCAGAAAGAGATACTTTGATGGGGGACACTTCCTTCTGTATGTTTCTCTTACTGTTTGGCCAATAGAGGCAAGAAGATAGGAGGGTCTAGGAGACAAGGAGAATTCTGGGAAAAGTAGGCAGAGAGACTTCAGGAGACACCATGTAGAGACCAAATGGATATGATGTGCCAGGCATTCTCTAGTAAGATAATGCCATGTAGAAATGCAGATATTACTAGTTATGGTTTAATAATTATGGCAGAGCTAGCCAATAAGAAGCCTAGTCATCATCCAACAGCTTAATAATTAATATAGCATCTCTGTGTGTTCATTGGGGGCCGAAGAGATCAAACCTGGTGAGACAAGAAACTCCAACTACAATGCTTCATTTCTGATTAATTCTTTTGTTCCCCTGAAATCTTCAACTTGAGATGGTACCTCCACGTTCAGGGTGAATCTTTATCCCTTAGTTAAATTCCCCTAAAACACTCTCATAGATGCTCCAAGAGATGTGCTTCAATCCCTTATATGGATTCTAAATCTAGGCAAGTTGATATTACCTAGTAACCATAGCAATGTGATAAACATGTAGATTGTGATAGATAACATTGGACAACATATCACACTTGTATAGAAAAATTCCTACTGTAATAAAATTAAGTCACCCCATAAATATCCTTGCTGAGGCAAGCTAAATAAGCCTTGTCTAATGGGCAAAATTTTGAAAAGCAATCCTAATCCAACACATTGCTTATATTCACCCAAATGTTTTTGTAGAACAAAATGAATATTTTTGCATCATTTCTATTACATAGATTGGCTTCTTCTTAAAAAGTAGATGAAGTCTCAGTTTGCATTTATTGAGTTTTACTGAACACTTCTATTTCATTTGAAATTTACTTCAATCAATAATATATGTTTCCATTTTCAACACTAGTTAATTCATTTTAAGACATGTATTCCTTTGATTATTCAAACATTATGAAATTTCATCTCATATATGCCCATAAAATACTCATTTTTCTCAAATCACTTTAATGTTCTGTTTGGTGAAGTAATCAGTGCATGAACAGGCTCTCAGAACAGCAGAATATTTTAAAAGAAACTTCTAAAGCAGTCCTTGGTTTTTCTAATAGAAAAACAAAATATAAATGGACTAGACTACAAAAGATGTGTGTTCTCATGTTTTAAAGAAATATGACAGCCTGATGCAACATCTCAGAAGGTAAAGACACCTGCTGCCAAGCTGAAAGGCCTGAGTTCAACTTCTGGGACACACATGGTGGGAATGAAATTAACCAAATCCTAAAAGTCATTATTTTCAGGCAGTTGCAGCACACCACATTATTCTCTAATATACCATCAGGGAAAAACAAAAAAAAAACAAAAAAAAAAACCACTGACCCTATCCTATACTGTGAGGGACAAAACAAAACTAACATAAATAATTAGAGATTTAAAATGTGTCACTTCAGTAGGGAGCAGTGCTGTGATGTCTTCATATGAATCCTGAAGTTCACAAGGTCCCACTAAATCATTTAGAAAGATGACGGGATAATAAATGGGTTAGTTCAATAAAGATGTATGAATAAATAGGCACGTTTCTGATGGCTCAGAAAGTGTCAGGAGTAAAGAAATAAAAAAAAAAAAACCTAAAGTGGTAAAGTCAGACCACTTTCCACTTAATTGAAAAAGCTTTTAGGCAAAATGTATACAGCTTTTAACGTAAGGTGGGAAATGATCGTTGAAATCGGGGTAAGTTGCTCTGTGAGTTTAGGAAATGCTTCTCTTGATTAAATGTCAACACGTGCAAACACAAGTGTGCATGATTATATGGAAATTAATTAATACATGCTCAAGTACATGGAATATTTGTTGCTAGACTGGGGTCTGGCTAGTATAGAACACTTAATTTGGTATATTTTAATCCTTCAGCTAATTTTTGAAAATTAAATTTGGCTAATGACTTGAAATAACATAGGTAAGAGCACTGTATGCTAGATAAGCAAGCATCACACGGAAGGCTTAGGAATATTAGGATTGAAATATCTGTGACAAAATGAATTACCCAGATTCGCTGAAAAGTCGATTTGCTGCGTAAAGATGCTGGCTACCAACCCTAATGATCTGAGTTCCATCATAGAGTTCAGCATGTTGGAGGGAGAGAATAATTCCTGCAAGATGTCTTCTGACCTCCACATGCACAAAAGCCCATTTGCCTCCACTGTCTCTGTTTGCCTGACTGCCTCCCCACCCTCTCTCTCTCTTCCTCTGTGTGAGTGTATGTATGTGTGTGTGTGTATACATGCACACGTGCGTGTGTGCACGCAGACACACACACACATGTGCACGCCTGTCTGTTTGTCTCTGTCTTTCTCTTGCAAAAACTAAGGTTATAAAACTGACACACCAGCAAAGAATTTTAGGGAATTAGAAGCATGTGCTAGAGGACTGAAAAGAGAAACCACTACAAAGCTCCCTTGGTGATTATTCTCTGTTGTGCTGGGATGCTAGGGCCCATAGTGCTCCTAATGCTCTCTGTGCCCCATGTTTCACCACCCCCACTGGGAGCCATATGTAACCTTTGCTTGACTGTTGCCCAACCTGCCTATATATTGCACTGGAGTGGCTACTGAAATTCTCTTAAAAGTGTATGCAAGAAAAATCGAGAACTGAATCAAACAATTTAAGAAACTGTATTTATTACAGCCATCTTTACAAGATCCTAATTTTTTCTCTATTTGAGTAGACAGGAGTCAGCCTTACAGCTGTACAGTTTTTCTTTCCAGACACTCCCCTCCATGGGCAGTGTATCACAGCATTTATTCCAGCTTCTCTAAATTTAAAGCATGTGGAGTTTTCAACTACTGCCTAAAGAACTATCGTTCTCTCCTTTTCTCCAACTTAAATGTGATGGTTTTCGTTTAATGTCTGTGTGTTTTTGTGTATGTGTTCATGTGAGTATACACATCACAAAAGCGTGTGTATTTGCAAGTACTTGTGTGTATGAATGCTCATGCATGTAGAAGTCAGAGGTTGACACTGGGTGTCTTCCTCTATTTTTCTGTATTATTTTTGAAATGGGATCTCTTACTGGACCTGGGGTCACTGAGTCAGCTACATCAGCTGTCTGGTTAACTTCAAGGACCCCCTTGTGTCCATCCTTATCTACGCAGTGCCGAGTAAACAGGTCTATGCTGCTATCCCCAGCATTCTTGGTTCTGACCATCTGTACTCAGGCCTTCAAACTTGTATCAACAAATACTTTACTGACAGAGCTGCCTCATTTCTCTTTTATTTTATTTTGTATTTCAGTACAAAATTAAGACAAAACTACACTATAACCTTGGTGTTCTTCAAGCATGGGTGCTAATTTACTTGGGAGCAGCACTCCTGCTACTCATGAAAGAGTTATCACAACTCTGCCTCAGTTTTCAAACTGTGCTCATGGCAGAATTTTTCTCTGCTCTCTGAGAGGTGGCATTTTATCTAGAAAATTCCGATTCCAAAGCCACTTAGAAGGAACAAGACTCCTTCCTAGAAAGATTCTCTTAGGGAAATTTTTATTTCTTCATTTCTTCCTGAACTGTAATACTGCTTTTCTACTGTCCTCCAGTTTGGAGCTAGTCAGATGGTTAACCATGTGATGAGCTAATGAGATTTCAAGAATTTCTTTCATTTCCTTTGCGTTTATGAGGTCATGAGTTTGAGAACACTTTGCATACCTTGGAATACCCAAAGAGCAACAGTAGATTCAGTCAGTGGTACACAGCTGCTGTAGAGGATGGTGCTGTTTAAGTACTCATGCTCACAGGTGAAGACTAGGCTCACTACTGCAGATTGCACACATTCCTCTTATTTCAGATAAGAAAGAGCGGCTATACGTGCAACATCCCACATCCGTTTCTGCTCTTCTGGTTTTGATAAATAATTCCTGTATCTTCTATCACTTCTAGCATGCCACACTACTTAGATAAATATTAATGTGTTTCCTTTAGCATGCCAAGTTCCAACAGATTTTATATGTGGGTTTGAGCATTTTTATTCCACTATATTGGTAGTTTGGGCTCATTCTATTACTTTGGTCAAAAATTATTTTAGGGAAACTAGACAAAATAATACATTCATTTGTAGAACACTTGGGAGACTGAGACAGAGGGACAGTATTGTCCAAAACAACCTAAAATGTACAACATGATTTCATTACAAACAACAAAAGCTCAATTTCCTTATTGGGGATGGGGGTGGGGTTCAAGACAGGATTTCTCTGTAAAGTCCTGGCTGTCCTGGAACTTTGTAAATCAGTCTTTCCTCAAACTCAGAGATCTGTCTGCCACTGCCTCCCAAGTGTTGGGATTAAAGGCATGCACCACCACCACCTGGCTAAAAGCTAAATTTCTTAAAAGAAACACACAAAAAACATCATATTTATTCTATAATCTTTACTAGGATGTTTCTGATATCCCTGATCATCTTCCTGTTTGTTTGTCACATGTGAATAAATGTGTGAGCAACAGAATATGCATGTGTCTGCACAGATGAAAGCGGGATGCCACATCTCATGTCTCTAAATTAATGGATAAATTTTAGGGGAAAAATCACCAATAATGTATCAGCTTAATAAATGTATTTTAACATGGGGTACTAAAGTGTAGCTACCAATCCTTTTGTTTGAAAGCTATTGACTCATTACTATTCATTATTTCTAGTTACAGAATGATCCAGAATTCAAAGACAGAATTAAGGCACAAGTCTTGATATACCCTCTCCTACAAATAATTAACAGCTACCTGCCATCTCATCGAGAGTATGAACACGGTCCAATTCTGTTCAGGAAGATGGCAATCAAGTTGGTAGCCCTATATGTGTCTGAAGACACAGCACTACTCCAGGCTGCACTGAGAAATGAACACATGCCTGAAGGATCAAGACATCTGTTCAAGTTTGTTAACTGGAGTGACTTTCTTCCTGAGAAATACAAAAAGAACCATGTTTACACTGAGCCCATTCTTGGAAAATTGAATGCTTCCTATCCAGAACTTGTGGATAGCAGGCTGTCCCCTTTGCTAGTCAATGACTCCCAGTTACAGAGTTTGCCACTGACCTACATCCTCACTTGTGAACATGATTTCATAAGAGACGATGGTCTCATTTATGTCACACGGCTTAGAAATGCTGGGGTTCGAGTTACTCATGACCACATAGAGGAAGGAATCCATGGAGCCATGTCATTTACCAGAGCTCCATTTTTTTTACATCTAGGATTAAGAATAAGAGATAAGTATATTAGCTGGTTAGAGGAAAATCTATAAATCAATGGTACATGTAGCTAGGCAGTCAGTAAAGTAACTTGAAAGTTATGTTTTGAACTGTTGTATGACGAATGAAAACAAAATGATCTGGCTTTGAATAAAGCTACATTTCAATTTGAATAAAGATTGCAGTGTATATTTGAGAAAATCACTTCATCTTTTCAACATCAAAAATATTGCTAAAACAGGACATTCACTTCATTATTCCCATTCATTATTATTTGTCAGGAAATGCATACTCTGAGTGTTCAAAAATGGAAGGATAATGCAAAAAATGTGATGAGATTCAAGGTTGTAATGTGAATAGAATCATGAGGACTGGGTGGGTTGGCACATTACTCTCCAGCACTCTAGAGGCAATAAGGCATGCAGATCTCTATAAGTTCAAGGCCAGGCTGGCCTATGTAGCTAATTCTAGTCAACTCATTTCTATACAGTAGCATGCTGTCTAAAAAAAAATATTTCAAAAGAGTAAATAAAAAAACCACAAATGAATTCTTTTGTATTCATTGATAGACAATGTTGTCTCTTGATTCATGATGGTGCTAGCCAACTGAGGAGTACAGGCAGAGTTATTTACAGTATTCTTTTAAATTTCTGTAGTAAATCATTGTGCACACAGAGGCTGCAGATCGGGGGAGTTAACTGAGTTGGTGATGCCCAGACCTGTTTGCTTCTCTGTGATGAGGGGACCCATGCTTCTGTCAGCGCAAATCAACTCATAAATACCCACATTTCTGCTGGGGAGCATTGAAATCAATGTGCAATTTCCTGATGTCCTGGTGGTTCTGCTGCTTGGGTATGGTTGGTTGACCTGTTTGTGCTTTTCCTTAATGCCAAATACACTTGTGAAATGGAAGTGTGTCTCATGGATTTAGTTGGCAATCTGACCCTCATTTCCAAACACATTTCACTAACACTTTTCTGCAGCTTGAACCTTTTCGTTCATTTCAACCTTGAGCTTCTCACTAATCTGTCAGACTTCAGCACATGAGTGCCTTCCCTGACATCCAGACACGAAGCTGATGCAAGAACATCAGGAAAGGTTGACTAAAAAGGTTCTTTGCTGTCGTTTGTGATGCTATACAACATCTTAAGTAACACCACTCTGCTTATTTCATTTGTAAAAGAGAAAGGATATTGGTCATCTTATGCCAAATCAGACTAGACAAAAATTGCTTGTCTTCATTAACTATTAATCACAAATTGAGGGAGGGTTAGAAGGTCATCAGTAGACATGGGAAATGAATGTGGGTTCCCCCCAGTGACACTATGGTTGGAGAATACATTTTGGAGGAAAAAATGGGAGATGAATTGGAAGTTTAAATATAACCAAAAGGGGAAAAGGGAGGACCCAGAGACCCCATAAAGCTCCGTATCCGAGCCTGATCAGAAGATTCCTAGTTTAAGATTATATTCCCATACCAAAGAGTACTTTTTTAAAATTAAAGCTGTTACTTTGTTTTCTCTGTAGCTTGGTCTAATGTCTTTCCTGGATGTTCCACTCATATTTTCATAGAACGAGTTCATAGACAACCAGCCAACCCTTTTTCTTTTTTTTAAACAGTACTTTAGATTCAGTCAGAATCTGAAAGGATCTCTACTCAACAAGTGCAAACTCCCTATTTTATTAATGAACTTGCTTATCACACTTCTGTAGCTTTGACAAAACAAGAACATACAAATAAAATACTAGAAGATTAGTGTGAGAGCTATTCTTGGTTGTCAACCTGAGTACATCAAGAATGAACTGCCATACAGAAGTGATGGCACACCTGTGAGAGATTGTCTACTTGGTTTGAAGTGGGCAAATCCACTTCTATTCTGGATCTTTGAGGTAGGATGACACATACATTTCTTCAGGATCTTGAGGCAGAAAAACACACCTTTAATCTGGGTCCCACCTCCTGCTGGAAGCCTATATAGGGACATGGAAGAAGTAAGCTTTTGCTCTCTGCCTGCTTGCTTTTGATTTTCTAGCACATCCATTCCTTGATTGGCATTGAAGTCTACTTCTTTGGGATTACAGCATATGCTAAAGTCCAGCTGAGATATCCACCCTTGTGAGACCGAGCAACTATTAGATGCTTGGACTTTCTGTTCCAGCTAGCCATTGTTTAATTATTGGACTGAAGCCTGTGAATCATTCCAATAAATCCCGTTTGCATGCACAGGAGCTGGCACACACACATTTACACAATGGAGTACTACTCATCGGGGAAAAAAAACGTTATCTTGAAATTCGAAGGCAAATGGATGGAACTAGAAGAAGCCATTCTGAGTGATGTAACTCAGTCACAAAAATACAAACATGGTATGACTCATTCATATATGGATTTTAGACATAGTGCAAAAGATTGCCAGCCTACAATCCACACCACCAGAGAAGCTAGGAAACATGGTCCCCCAGAGGGGAAAGAGACAAGATCTCCTGAGCAAATTGTGAGCATGGGGGAGAGGGGAGAGAGAGTTAGGAGAAAGAGATGGGGAGAAGAGGAGGACATGAGGGAGCAGGAAGATTGAGCCTGGGCAAGAACAGAGAAGAGCAAGAAAAGAGATACCATAATAGAGGGAGCCATTATAGGATTAAAGAGAAATCTGGCACTAGGGAAATGTTCAGAGATCTACAAGGATGACCCATCTAGGAATCTAACCAATAGTGGAGATGATACCTTAAATCCCTTCTCCTATAATAAGATTGATGACTAGCTTATATGCCATCGTAGAGCCTTCAGCCAGTAGTTGATGGAAGCAGAGGCAGATACCCACAGCTAAACACTGAGCTGAACTCCTGGAATCCAGTTGCAGAGAGGGAGGAGTGATGAGCAAAGGGGTCAAGATCAGGCTGGGGAAACCCACACAAAAGGCTGACCTTAACAAGGGGGAGCTCATGGACCCCAGACTGATAATTGAAAAACCAGCATAGGACTGACCCAGACCCCCTGAATGTGGGTGTCAGTTAGGAGGCCTGGGCAATCCATGGACCCTCTGGCAGTGGATCAGTATTTATCCCTAGTATATGAATATACTTTGGGAGCCCATTCCCCATAGAGGGATACACTCTCAGTCTAGACACATGGGGGAGGGCCTAGACCCTGCTCCAAATGATGTGACAGACTTGAAGATTCCCCCATGGAAGGGCTCATTCTCTCTGGAAAGTAGAAAGGGGGTGGGATAAGGGGTTGCTAGGGGGCAGGGGAGTAGGGGAGAGGGAACTGGGATTGACATGTAAAGCAAGCTTGTTTCTAATTTAAGTTTTTTTTAAAAAAAGGAAAAAAATTAAGATTTCTCTTAACTATCAATTCCTGGTGGAGTATGTCGCCCATGAAATTTCTATGGCAGAAGAAAAGTGTAGAGAGAGATATGACCATTCCTTAATCCCATTCCTTGAAAAATCTATATTAGGTTTCTCCTGGGAGACAGGAGATGGGCAGAGATGTTAGTTGATCAATACATCAATTAACTTTAAGTAATTCCTTTGTACAGTTATGGAGGCTGGTGAATCTATAATCTTCAGAACAAGTGGATGGGGTGACCCAGAGAAAGGTTGGTGGCCCTTTTTAAAAAATGTGACAAAGCAAACTTCAACTAATCAATTAATGACTGGAAACCTTCAGCAAAAAAAAGAAAACAATTGAAGATGAGCATTTTAAAATGTATTAACATATACATTTTATATATATAACATATATATATGCTGATAAACTTGGAAGAGTAGGTCTAAATATCACATGCTGTCACAAAGTAGGAATTAAGCAACTGAGAAAATAGCAAGACACTAAGAAAAGAAGAAAGTAGGTAATGTTTTTGATTGTATAGGAAACAGGTAAGCATTTATGTACACTAAGTAGAAATAGTCTAAACTAATAAGAAAAAGGATGGTGAATAAAGGCATAAATACAAAGACAACAGGTAGAAAAACACTGAACCCTTTTAGGTAAAATAATAAATATGTTAAACATGTATCTTATAGAGAAGCACACAGAAAATGTAAAATAGTCATAAAATAATATAACTGAAACATACTAGCCATTTCAATAAATATGAATAGTGCTACTCTCTTATTTAAAGAAAAGAATTTCCAACTTGCCTTAAAACAAGATCAGAGTCTATGGGTGTAGATCTGACAATGAGCAAACCAGACCAAAGTGTTTCAAACTGACCAAAAAGTAAAAAAATAAAATTTTGCATCCAGGAAAGAGGGAGCAGTTATGATTTACTCTATTTTCCCATCAAACACAAATGAAATTAATAAATGATGCACGTGGATAATATGAAAGCTGAAGCGAAGCTGTATACCAGCTAAGGGACTCAAAACTTAAAAGCACAGCACAGCGGTCTGCTGCTACAGGTCTGTTTCTTTTTAATCTCACCAAGAGTTTGAGCATGAAATACCTGTAACTCCCAAAATCATGGGGCACAGCCAAAACAAAGACAAAAACCCTCTTTACTCTAGATAATCCAAGAAAAGGCAGGTTAGCTAGATAGAACTACCTCTAGAAACAGAGGAACATATCCCACACTGTAGGGGAAGCTGTAGCCACGCCTTCTTAGGGGCTGGCTACAGCTTCCCCTACACCACACAGGAAAGTCTGGTGTAGGAGACTGGACCTCTGCTCTCATGAGCCTTCATTTCAGTGAAGTAAGTGAAGCAACCCTTTGAAGAACACAGAACCAAACAAGGTGTTAGAACACAAAATAAGCACACAGAAATCAACATTACCTATCAATTTATTGAATTAGAAATCACATTTCAATTTTGCAATGTATGATAAAATGCCAAACTTAGAAATTCAAGAAATATTTGTTTATTAAAGAAATGTTACTAAATTACTGGGATACCAAAGGAAACTTGAAAAGACAAGAATTGTGGAGGCAAACTTGGGCCCTGGGAAATTGGTAAGCTTGAACTGGGCAGTCATTATGTATAAAAGAAAGTAGTTACTAAGGGCTTGTGGGTTCAGGATAAGTTTGAAACCATTTAAAAAGCCCACAATTTT